TGGTTTGTGAGTATTTTTTATAACTTGCCAACAAAGTCTATGCCAAAGTCAAAATCATTTATTCCGACTTAACAATAGATAGGTACTTTTGCAACGTCAACATAGAATATAATAATCAGTCAGTCAGTTCGTCAGTGAACCTAGGTGCTTGTTCCAAAATTCGAATGGAGAAGAACGAGGTAGATCTTCCTAGATTCACACCTGATCTTAACCCTTAAGCAATCGGCGTCGCCTATGGTAACCCGCAATACCTAATGCGTTGCCAGTGCATTGAAGGCCTTATCCCATCACAGTGTGTTGCTAGAGATTTGAGGATTAGGGGATGGGTAGGAAAGATTGATCCTCCTATAACGTTACCTACATAGCTAAACACAACATAATATAGGCAGTCACTAAATACACACACACACACACATTAACAATTATAATTACAACTATAAAACTAGCAACGCTACGCAAAGATGATACTAGCATATAAAGAAATCTGTTCTGTAGCAATTATATGTAAAGTTATAAAATCGTAAATCCGTAATGGGCTGTAAGGTTGATTTTAAGTACATATGTAAAGCTAATGTTGAGAGCTGTGGATTTTGTAATAACATTAAATCAATAAATACTTAATACGGTGTTTCACGCTGGTTGTATCACTTCTGTCAATACAGATCTGATCTCTTATACACTAAAACTCTTTTTGAGGGTGCCTCTTTCCCTCTACTCCTATGCGAAGAGAAGGTCTTTTTCAACACGATTGGAGAAACTTTAGGCACATTGCTAAAACCGCTAGGTCTTTCTGAGTCATAATGTCAAATACCGCCTGCCGGGGTCGCAGTCTTATTTGTCGTGTAATATAGTGACAAAATCATTGAGTCGTGGTATCATCATGAGATTTTAGACTTTTGACTTTTTTTTTATATGAGGTTGCATGTAGTACTAGCTGGACTTAATGTGTAAAAGATTATCCTGACACCACTTAAGTACGGTGAAGCGAAAACGTCGTGACACAAATTTAAATTAAAATTTCTATAAGTTTAAAATTGACGATTCGCCAAGAGCAAGCGTAGTAATTAATACTCATACCACCGTCTGAGTAAATGCTTTCGGTCAGCAGTAGGCACTTACGATATATAACCAGATTATCTAGGGCGAAAGCCTTTTCTAGCCAAAGAAGTAGAAGAAGTAGAAGTGAACTCCGTCGAAATTGCAGAAGCTGTACAGAATACCATGAATGAAAATAACTTGGAACCATATTCGAGTTGTTACTAAGAATAATTTTATAACAACCTTATCTAGTTTAATAATATTCCCCACAATCTTGTTCATGGTAATCTCAAACTGTTGAGATAAGTCTCCGCTCTCTCGCATATTTATAGTGTTTTATCTCTTTATCTAATGCACATCAGTCTTCTGTCAGTTTGGTCGCTATCTAATGTTGAACTATGTGTCTTAACTCTGTGTAAATAGAGTTGTCAACTGGATTTGTCGCTAAGGCCGCGGTGTCGTGAATAGTTTATCTGAAGTGAGTTTAGTTTATTGTTAAATCTCTGGCTAGATTTAGCGGTGTCTCCTTCTTCGTAATTTGTGGATCCGTGCGAGAGTTGAACCCACGATATGTTAAACAGCAGCCAGTTCCCTAGCCACTGAATTAACCCATTTGACGACTGTTCAGTGTTCACCTAGATATCCTAAGTTTTAAGCTAAAACTTACAAAAACTGGCGTGAAACAACGGTTGTATTGTATACCATGCCGTGTAAATGAGGTTACTGAAGACCCAATACGTATCTCCTATCCCTTTCTTCATACCTTAAATGGAACTTCTTGGATATTGCGGGTGTTCGTAGACGATGCTGATAAGCTTATAACCAAGTGATCAGTTTATTGCAAATCTTACCATTATATCGCTTCATGGTGGATTTCCTACCCGCTAGGACCAATCGTTTCGCTTCCAGTTTTATAATCAGAACCGCTAAAAAGAGGAATTCTATGCCAGAGTCTATGTTCTCCGGGGGTATAAGCTGGGTGTCTTCAAGGTCCGAGTGAATAGGTACTCTCTCATAACGGGCCTGCTGGAAGAGATTTCTGAAGAAATAAGCTGTGCCTTTGTACCTAATTGTTGTATTATTTTTCTTGTAGAATTTACTGTGTGTACAAAAATTATTAAATAAATAGGTTGCTTATGGGTAAATATGCTCCATTGTAGCTCGCACTGCTTACCACCAGGCGTGATAGCGGTCAATCATTGCTGCATAAAAAATTTATTCTCAAAATACACATCGTTGTACTTCAACGTTTCTCTGTGTTAGTACCTACATACCTAATATATGTAATTATGTAGTTTATCTCCTTACAATAACGTATTGTGTGCCAGGATCCGTGACATACATTAGCAAGATTATCAGCTAAACAAGATCTGCACTAGATAATAACACCTTCGTTATTTGTTATAATTAGATGACCTTGCTTTTGCAACACAGAAGCATTTTCACGTTGATTTTCTTTGAGACCATGGTATTACACCTATTGATCCGGACCCTTGCCGAATCTTTGTCTCCGTTACTAGCGGCGAAGCTAGTCCTCTCATTAGTATTGGAAAAGCGGACTTAAGGTCTAAGACACAAAGGCATTGCACAGAAGCAGACGGGTCACCTGATGGTAAACACTCAACGCCAAATATGAACAATCGTGCTATCTACAAACTTACAAGTGCGATACAGGTAGAGAGTCAGGTAGGGAGTATGCTGTTTTCTTCGCTTCGGAAAAACTGCAGACAGCAGTTTTGCAGTGTAAGGCAAATGTTTTTAGGAAAACCGCACAGTTGTGGGCTGATACCAAAATGATTGGACCACCAGTTGTAGGAGTCGAAAGATATAATAAAACCTGGACTTACAAACCAACCAACCTGTACTACAACACCAGGGGTTGTCAATGGAATGGTTATGGATTTGAGGATGGAAAGGGATTTGGTTTGAGCCTCCTGTACCGTCACTCATTCGGCGAAACATGAGGCCATGGTATCACTCCAGTCGAGTAGGTCTATTTGTGGCTCACACACTTAGATAAACTAGATAAGGATTAAAATTACGGAACACAATACGACTTAGTTTACGTGTAGGTATACTTACCGATATTCATTATAGTTTGTGTGTAGTGCATTGTATCAGATCTTCATATTAGACATAAGTGCCGGCTTCCGATTATATGTTACTATCAATAATTGTTATAGCAATACCGTTGTTCTGTTCTTGGAAACTGTCTATTAAGCGGGTTATGTCCTTAAAAGAGATGGCAAAAGAAACATAGGTGGATAAACGAAAATATTGGAAGATGATCTGAAAAAGGTGGCTGGTGCGGAATGCATCAGAGTTGTAAAGGACAGAGAAAAATGGAAATCTTTGGAGGAGGCCTATGTCGAAAGACAAAAAATTTATCACATGAACGCCGATAAATTTTAATAAGATTAATATATACACTTGTCAAATAAACGCTCAGTTAGAATTAGATTAAGTTATAGAAAAAATAATGTTTTATAAGTTTACAGCAATAAAAGTTTATTTTATCCTCTAAGTAATTCTCTCGCACATGGGTTAGCGTGCATCAGTCTCTTACAGACAAAAAATCCGGCCATTCCTTCTCCTGATTCAGGCCAGATCTCTACAGTGTAATCTCCTTTATCAGTAATTCCACAACCCACGTAAGATTTTACTTATACTACAACCAAAACCCTTAAGGTCTATAACCTTGTTAATACAACCGTGTCAGTGCACACATTAAAATACAATAGTATCGTTATGGAGTTATTCAGAACAATCACAGAACTAAATGGAGGGCAGGCACTTAATGTCAATGCCGATGTTTGATATGAAGAATTAGAATATTATAAGTGGGTGTTCGTACTAGTTTCTATTGTAATAGGTGAGGTTATAGGGAGACAAGGCCTTAGAGTGACAATGGACATGTAACTTTGAAATTTAGGAGTGTCAAAAACAATACCAATCGCCAACAATCTGGTCGTAGTTGCCCAGGATTTAAGGTTCTCGTTTCTCTTGATGAAGATACGAGCTTGAAACCTACCAATTACCAATGCGACTTTTTCCCAGTTGATAGTATTTTCTGAGTTGTTTTTCTTCGCCGCATGTCAGTGGTTAGACACCACTGACATGCGCCGAAGAAAAACAATATGAGGGTAGCCTGGCCTTATATCTGGAAAGTTTTCTGATAGTTTCAATTGAAGGTTGGTCGTCATAACTTTTCATTGGCCAAAAGTTCATTGATGATGATGAATGGTCGGTACGAACTTAAAATCGGTCTTTAAATATGCTTTTGAAAAATAAAAGAATATGAAATAAAAAAGATTGGTCAATAACAAGCATTACATTGCATTGCACACTATTGTAAAATGCCTATAATCACAAATTACCGAAAATTTCTATCGATGCCACGTATGATGTAGGTGACACCACACGTGGAATCAATAAGAATGCAATAACAAAAGAATACAATCAGAATACTCTGTGTAAATGTTTATATTTCAACAATGACTGACATTTTCCACTAAGATTCCGACTTCCGATAGACTGAAGTTTTTATAGTAGACTAGTAAATACAACATATTCATTAGTTAACAATCTAAGAGCGTATCTGCACAGTGAAACAAAAATGGCACGGATTTATTTTTTGATATGGACGGACTTTGTTCTTGCGTGTGCGCTAAAAACAACTGAGATTTGACGCAAATCTGACGCTCTTTGGTACGGAACTACATCAATCAGCGCTAAACAATTTTGCTCTGAGAGCACAGCTTTTTACACCATACTAATTTTGATAGACCTTATTGTATTCAACACAATGTATTTTCATCATATCAGGCAAAACATATCCATTTCTGTGCACTATTTTAATTTTCCCCCATTTTCCCCAATTACGGTGGTGTTTATTTATACTTACCGGTGTTAAATTTTAATATTCAATTTCTATCATACTTAATACTCATTATTTGTTCCAGGAATGTAGTCAGCTAGGAGAGTGACATAACAGCATCCTCCGGCGACCATCAAATTCTATTTGCTTGGACACTATGTGAACACGACAAGATGCTGCTCAAACTGTGCAAATCATGCCAGTAGTAAGTATCTACGATGTATTTATGGAGTAAATGATTCATGAGATAGATCCAGCCATATCACCAGAGTAGCTATTGGTATATTTTTTTATGTGATAGTATGGCAAACAAGCATACGGATTCCCTGATGGTAAGCAATCGGCGCCGGCCATAGACATCCGCAAGACCGGAGGAGTTATGAGTGCGTGCCGTGCGTTACATTGGGCCTCCAGTAACCTCACTCACAAGGCCAAACACAAACGCTGTGGTTGTTTCATGGTGATTTTATGTAAGGCTGTAGTATAACTCCGGTCGAGCCAACCGTATCGCTCCCGCCGAAGCTTGGCTCTCTCATGCTTAAAATAAATTAATTTTAAAATTTCACTGGATCGCATATAATTACTTCTACACGCCTCTGTCCAGACTCTTAGAGCTTAAAAACTATCTACCCTGTTCTCCTATCTATCACCTATCTCCTGCTCCAAGCCAGTTGGTACATCATTGTGCTTGCTACCCTTTTACTAAGTCTTTAGTCTTACCTTTCAACTGTAGTGTAGGTTTTAACCAGAACATTGTGCACTTTCAAGAGATTTTGAATGTAGCTATATTTGTGAATGCATTCGCGACATGAGGAAATTCTTATCTACATCAATGTTAATAAACTAAGGTATTGTATTCGTCGAAAATAATGAAGTCCAATTTAAGATTTCCTTTTACGTAAATGTTAAATTTGCACTATCAATACGTCAAAAATGATTACAATAGAAAAAATATGAAACCCGACGTAGGTTTTATAAATTAGTTTTAATGTTGTGGATAAGATGTGGTTGTATCCTGTAAGTATAACCATATCCTTAGGTAATTGTTATGCTGATCATGGTTTAAGGCGTTTTTAAAGTTAAGGCGCCTGCCAATACATTAGAACGTGGTTTACAAACCTTGCAAGTATCAATGTGACTTTTTCCAACTTTATGTACTTTATAAATATTAATTTCATCATCTTCACTGACAAAAAGTGAAAAAAAAAACATCATGACTAAAGGACTACTAATATCTGACTATAAGTTTTAAACTGCTAATCCGTTTTGAACCTTAGTAACAACCAACCAAGTAATGCAATATTGAACATTCGTTCTCCATGTCAGAAGAGGCTTTTGTTCAGCAGTGGTCTGATGGTAAAGTTATGTGCTTGATAAATTTGTCAAACAAGATGTTTATTTTGACAAAACATTAATACCTAATTTAAGATATTATACCGTATATTGATCTAATGTGAGTACAAAATGTATTAACGAGACTACACTAATTCTATAATTCATTAACACATGTAAGTCACAGATCATCATGATACACAAAGTGCCACTGCTCTTGATAATGTCAATCAGTGTCAAGATAAAACCTCATTCGACGCCTATCTTCTTAGTACAAGACATTACACACAAGAGACGTGTTCTGTGGAATAGTACTTGAGGTTGCAACAGAATTTCCAGTGATTTTGTGTCCTTGATTTTTAAATTAGACTGGAATTCGCAAGGTTCCGTCCTTTGTCATATTTTGTGACTTCTCTAAAGCTTTCGATTGAGTCTACCAGTCCTTGATTTTTATTTGTTGTTCAATTTAGTATTCTTAGTGTTTCTTAGTAAAATACTGAGAGTTTAATTATAGTAATGAAACCGTTCATGTCAATGCCGTAGTTTCAATTAATATTAATTGTCAAAGTAATTGCAAGACATTCATCAATCACAGTGCCTATTAGTTGAAATTAAAAGTATCTATTATTTGTAGTACTCGTAGATATGTAAGCAACTGTAGGAAAATCACCTTTTGAGATAGGTGTGTTTTTTATAAAATAGTGCGGTGTAATGTTTGAAGGAGATTGTAAAATATTTTTTACCCTACTTAGAAATTAAAGGTAAGAATTTGTTTCGAAAAATTTAAATATTTCTTTATTGTTATAAGTTTTTATGGATTAAGTTAAGCACGAATTACCATTCTTATAACTTATTTATTTATACAAATGCACACATGATAAGTTTAGGTAACTTAAACGGACTTAATGCCATATGGCATTGTCTCCCAGTCAAATTTAGGGCGTAAATTAAATAGGGCGGAATTAGGCTTGTTTAAATAATAATTTGATCAATTAAATCAACGTGTATAATAAGTTATTTGAAAATATTTATACATAATTATATATCAATAATCGGAGACGATCACGCACTCAATTAAACAATGCAAAACAAGATAAATTACATGCTTTTCGAGACAAAAGTGCATAATGAATATGCAACGGGTTATGAACCGCCAATACGGTCATGAACAATTGCCAAGCATGTGTTTTGGGGCCAATTTCCTGGCTGGGCAAAATACTATTATTGCTTTGTGGCATTTTTTTACTAATAAAACGTTTTTTACTAATGCTTTGACTAACTAAGGCACAAGGTCTAAATCATTAGTCGACAATTGATGATTTTTCAAATGTTAGATAAACGATTTATCCCCAGAAGCAAGAAGGTCTGTGTTCATTGTGTCGGTTGAAAAGATAAAAAATGCTGTTCCATATAGTGTTGAATTTGCATTACAAACGTTTACTAGAAAAGGCATTACCTATTTCCACCATTGTATATATTACAACCACATTCAAAAATAACTAGTTACTAAGTCGGTTTTCCTATTATATTTTTTAATTGTTCAAGACATTTGACACTCAGTTCTCTAACTACACTTAGACGGCAAAGTCGCATTTAGAAAATACTTAGCAGGGAATTCGTTTTGAGTTGCTTTGTAAATAATTCTGTGATGACTTTATTTGTGTGCTTGTAACTCGTAAACGGGTGAGTCAAATTCGATGTGGTTTTGATTATTATGAATCAGATTTTTATCAATATATCGTATGATGATGAGAACAGGTTGTGTGCTGATATTATTTATGGCTAAGATAGTTCGTCATTTTCTAAGAATAAAAATAGTTTTGTTTGTAGTTAAATATTACGTCCTGATCAAACAAAGAGGAGATTGCTTTTGTCTTTTGACTTTATTGTTGAATATTTGCAGTTATAGGATGCTCGGTTTTCATTGTATTTTTGTTGTTATTGAGATCTATTTTCTCATTAATGTCATCGGTCAAATAGTTCTAAGGACAATTGTTATAGAACGAACTAATGTGTTCCTTGATACGTATGCTTTTCAATATTCATATTAAAATAACTGTTAAATAAAGAGTGATTGAGATATGATTTAATTTTATAGTTATTTTATACGAATAGGTAAAATAATATTTTTCCTTGTACCACATGTCCACATGTTTATGATATTAATTACTCAAACGATGTTATCCAGTATATGTTTATCAAAAATGCAAACGAGCAACGGGATTTACTGTACTCTTATAAAAGCTAAAACATCAGATGACTTGAAAAGTTGGTTGTAGGCTCACAGGCACTCTTTTGAGCCAAATTGGAAAAACATTTCACCCTTTAACCTGGGGGGAGGAAGGTGATTGTGAGACTGTTACTAACTAATAAAGGACCTTGGTGTCATGTGTCTCACGTAGGCGTGAAAGTCTGGGAATCAAATTTATTTGAATACCTTGGTAGGCTTAAAGTTTCGGCACTGGTCGAATTTCCAAAATTCTTTCTCTGGTATATATAGATATTATAGAGGTATTATAAGCAATATAAAACATCACGCTACGATTAAACGCAGCAGCGGATAAAACCGCGCGAGAGTAGCTGCTATAAGATAAGGCTTTTGCAGGTGTTGTAAAGATGGCTCAGTATTCAGTGGTAGACTTTACCGGGCTGTTGATGACGAAGATGTTGATGACTCCTTATAGAAATCTGTTTGTAAGAAAACTTGAATGAAAGATCAAACTGATTGTATGTTATTGATCCATTAGTTGTTCTGTTTGTTCAACAGCTGTCTGGAGACAATGTACTGGAACTGCTGCGAAGAGAGATTCTGCTTCGACAAGAAAATCGCGACATACAAGTGAGTACAATAACAATTGACCATGATTCTTCTTAAAGACTCGCCGACCTGGCAAACCTCATTCCACCTTGATTTAACTTTTTCTTAAGATGTTTTAAAACTTTCCACGGATACCTCAACAATAAAATTTGTCCAAGCCATTCTTGAGGTTTTTTGAGACTAATAGACAGAAATTCATTTTACTATTTATGCAAAATTTTGTAGTGGTAAATACTATTGTAATTGCATTCAAAGTAGCGATAGACTGTAGAATATATGAGACAGGAGAACAAAACAATAATGTGCTATATTTAAAGTAAAATTAGAAAAACCAGTTTGGACTATGTTGTGTGGTCATCTGAATATGAGCTAAAAAGAATTAAACAATTTCGCTAAAAAGAGTTCTTATAAAAAAGTATGATTTCAAAAATCCGTTAGCCTTATTATTTCTTTCGGGGAAAAAAACCTTGGGCGAGAGAGAGGTAAATTGGAGATTTTTCCCCCTCTAAAAATATCATGATAATCATCGGAAGGTCTTAGTAACATCTGCACACGAAGATACAGGGTGATATTCTTGATAAGTGCAAAACAAAATAACAATGGTTTGACGTCACAACAAGTCGTGATCTCTCAGTTACTGACTGTTAATCTGCGACAACTGATCAGCGATAAGCAAGCTGAATGGATGCTGCCGACTTTGACCTTGAACGCTTTAAAATAGATTTCTTGAAATATTTTTGAGGGTGTCAATTGGAACAGTAAATTATAGGTAGGTACTTAAAAAGTATTGTGTGGTTTTTATTTATGGAGTAAAGAAATAACCAAATACTTCCTCGGCGGCTCGGGGCAGGAGAAGGAACGGAGTGGTGGTTTTTAGTCAAGTAAGAGTGTGAAATGTGTGTGTGTGTTATGAATGTGTGTGAGAATGATTTAATCGCATCAAAAATTTTCATGACTAAGGACATACCTTTCTGGGTTAGCTTTTATTCAAATCGTAATCATTAGAACCAGGATCCCATCCAAGCGACGTCTACTAGTTTTTCTATACACAAGGGCAGAGAGAAGGTTGGCTATATGTGGTTGTAGGTCGCTTCCAATAGACTGGGCTAGAAGTATTTAGTGAAGACTTATTTATTTTGAGCAGGGAACGTCTGATAAGAAGAAGATGATAATAAGATTTAGTCTTCTATCCCTAACTACTACCAGGAGAGGTTCGTTGCATGAATTAATCACATTTGTATTCAAATGGCTACCCCTCATTCTGACGTTGTCTTCCGAAGTCTTCTGACGCTACTTAAGTGTGGGAGAGCCATGTTTCGGCTCGAATGGGTCGACTCGACCGGAGTGATACCACAGCCTCACGGAAAACCGGCGTAAAACAACAACAGCGTTGTGTTTCGTCCGTGTGGGTGAAGCTACCGAAAGCCCAATCCTCCCCCCCCTGATGTCTCAGGAAGAATATCAGGAGGAATATGGAAATTTTAGGGATCTTGGTTTCACTTCTTGGGATCTTGGTTTTACCTAAGCCCTGACAGTTTACTAAACAATAAATCAGCAAAGACTCAAAGGCTAAAGAGTCACATGAAGCCCATAAAATATAAATTGATACAAATGATGACAATATCCTTCATCTAGCTGTATGATATCATCAATCAGTTACATTTCATATTTTTATAAACGACTGGTAACACATCTCATATATATGTATTTGTCATCTATATAAATAAAACATATCTTTTAATTAAACTTAATAATTAACTTACGTAAGTGTGGGCCAGCCATGTTTCGGCACGAATGGGTCGGTTCTACAGGAGTGATATTACGGCCTCAAAGAAAACCAGCGTGAAGCAACAGTTACTGAAAGGGAATGAAAACCGAGTTGATAATAGCAGATCAGGATTTTTTTTTTTTGTGAGGGGAAAATCATCAAATGACTTCTCCCGCCCAGGGCCGGGCAGGAGGGAGTGTCAGACTCTTACTGACTAAAAACCCCCCTGTTCCTTCTCCTGCTCTGTGCCGAGGTCGCGGTGCCTCATTGCGCTTACCCCGCAACCCCGGCTAGATCAGGTTAAGTTAGAACTGTGAACCGCACAGGAATCGAATCAACGTCGCAAATCTGTTATATATTACAAGCAATTTGCTTGTAATATACTCAAATTGTACTGCGGTCAAAGGGTTAGCTGATTGGTGAAATGGCTAATTTAACCAGTTGACTACCGCATACCTAGATTGTATGTTTAATATTAATAAAATTAGTCTCATTAACTTTCATAGGCATTTGGTAAAATTATTTCTGGATTGTCAGGAAGACAATATTGATATTAGTGTAACAGGCTTAGAATGCTTGTGTAACAATACTTACTAGCTTCCGCCCTCGGATTCGCAGATCCGCAGATTCTGCGTGGTATGTTGATAAAAACTAGCCTATGTGTAAAACCAGCGAAACACCTATCTACATACCAAATTTCAACCGAATCGCTCCAGCCGTTTATGCGTTGAAATAGTAACAAACGTACATACATCTATACATTCTCAAAAACTTTCACATGATTTTAATAGGTAATATCAGTTTTGTGATAATGATAAAAATAAAGTACACCTGCAGAATGTGCATTATATAAATAAATGTACTTTTCTAGATAACATTTCCTGTAGACAGTTATAATCCAACGATGTCTGAGTTGATCTTAACAATCGATTCTGAAAACACTTGTATTATCGCAAATACGTAAGTGGGGGATTTATTATAGTGAACATACATACTTTTCTTTTTTTTTAAACTTTGCCCCACATAAGGATTTTCTCCTGTGTCGTTGGTGCGGTTACAAACATACAATTTCACATACACATGACACCCAGACCCGGAACAACAATTTGTGGATCACACAAAGAGTTATTCCGTCCGGGAACCGAACCCGCGACACGTTGCACGGCAGCCAGTAGCCCAGCCATCGCACCAACCGTGCGACATCTGCTAAGTACATAGGTCGAGTGTGACCTCCATGTTTTATTATATCCAGAGGTAAAATAATAACTGTTTGTTTTTAAATAACAAATTGGTAATATTCACGGGCAGCGCTAATCACTTACCATCGGGCGATCTGTCTGCTCTTTTGCCAGCGGTTCCAAAAAAAAAACAGAACCAATTTATCGATAAATATTAACGCTTAGTCACATGTCATAATTATTGTAACTCGGGAAAAGTTACATTGGTATTTATCTGGTTTCTTGTGCATGAGAAGCGGACGCTTAACTTCTGGGGCACTGCGATATGGCAAAGTCAAAGTTGAAGTCAAATCATTTTTAAACAGACCAAAGCTGGCACTTTTGTAATAAAAAAGGTTTTACTTTATGCGTGTCAGTCTGTCCGTCTGTCCTCTAGTGAAGCTATTTGCTCGTTCTAAAGTAAGATTCTCCATGGTTACCTACTCTTTTTCAAACTGTAATTACAATTCATTTCTTTGTTACATCATTAAGTCGGGTCTAATATGTGAGGTCAGTGTAACGTTCGATTATTTAATTGAAATTTCGAAAACAATATTTTCTATCGTTTCTGTATATTTCAACGTACACTATAATATGTATAATATATACAATTAATAAAACAAATAAATATGTATAATATATACATATGCATGTATAATTTAATAAATTTCCTTATATCTAAACTGAACTGAAATGAAAAACTATTTTTATTATTAGGAAATATTATAAATATCTCGAAATTATTTGTTTTATTATCGCAAACACAATAAAACCGCATTATTAAAACCATTGAGATAAAGAATCCAGTTTAATCTCTAGTACAATATACAGAGCAATTTGCTAACAATCCATTAAGAATAAAGTAAAATATATGCAAATAGCATAGTCAACATAGTATTATGGTGTGGTCTAAACATATGCACGATTGCATGTATGTATAGGAAAATCTTCATCTAATATTATAAAGAGGTATAATTTGTAAGTTTGTATGTAGGGGGTGATCTTTGGAACCGCTGGTCGAATTGCCAAAATTCTTTCACTGATAGATAGCTATAATGTTCCTGAGTGCTATAGGCTATAAAACATCACGCTACAATCAAATGGAGCTGAGCAGCGAGTGAAACCGCGCGAGAGTAGCTAGTATATAATATGTTTGTGAACTATAGCGTCTATTGTTATGCAGTGGTCTCCTTGGAGAGATAAAGACTGGGATTTGTCCACGACTAGAAACCTAGATACAGGCAAGTTTTTTATAACGTTGCCCCACACTCGGAGTCGGGAGTGAAATCACAAACATAAAAATTCACATAGAGAAGTCATCGCGAAACAATTTATGGATCACAGAAAGGGTTGTTCCGTGCAGGAATCGAATTGTGATGGATTTCACAACAAATACATTTAGTCAGTAATCAGCAAATCAGGATGATTGGAGAACCATCAAATCAGGAGGAGTAAGGGTTTTGGCCTCCAGTAACCTCACTCACACGGCGAAATACAACTTTCCTTTGAGGCCGTGGTATCACTCCGGTCGAGCCGAACTATTAGTGCCGAAGCATGGTTACCCCACTTTCAAATATGTGTATATAAAATTAATTGTCGACATAATTAAAATATGTAGTTTTACCGCAAATAATATTTTAAATTTAAAATTAAATTTTCCTATTTCCTGTCGTTGGTATTTATTTCCGATGTTCTATAGTGACGAAATCCCTTAAATCCTATTAAAACAAAACCACATTGTTTTGACCAACAAACGGATAAAAACGCCAAAATTATAATATTAAGGTGTTGAACAATTAATTACATATATCGGCCTCGGTCCAGAGCAGAAGAAAGAACGGTTTGGTTTTTAGTCAGTAAGTCTTTTTTTTATCAGGAGAAAATCATCCAATGACTTCTCCCGCCCAGGGTAAGGCGAGAGAGAGTGTCAGACTCTTACTGACTAAAAACCCCCTGTTCCTGTTCCTGCTCTGGGCCGAGGTCGCGATGCCTCATTGCGCTTACCCCGCAACCCCGGCTGTAGTCAGTAAGATTCTGACACAGTCACAGTCAAAAATAATCCTACTTAATAATATTATAAATGATAAAGTTTGTGATAACGTATGGATGTTTGTTATTCCTTTACCTAAAATCGGCTGGACAGATTTGTTGGAAATTAGGTCAGCATATAGATAGGTAGATTTAACACATTGGCTGTGTTTTTTATTAACATACCGCGCGGCCGAAAGCAAGTAATAAGATAAAAGCATTATATTTGTAATATACTTAGTCGGGTCATAAGTTCTGTCACAAACTTTTGATGTAATAACTTATACGCCTTTTGACAATTATTTAAAAATTATATATGAAATGAAAGGTCATTAAATGTACAATATAATTTTATTTACATTATTCGAAATGCCCTCCCCCATTTTGAACACATGCCCTTAATCTACGCGGCCAGTCATCGATCGCTGCACGCACCACATTCATATCTATGTCTGCCGCTGCTTTAACCAGAGATGCTCGGAGAGACTCCAAATTCGGGTGAGGTTTAGCACAGACTTTTTCCTCCAAATATTGCCATATCTTGTAGTCCAGTGGGTTTAAATCTGGACTAGAAGAGGGCCAGTCTTCATGCCGGATGAAGTCAATTCCACGAGCGATCAACCAGTCTTGCGTACTTCGTGCCTTATGAGCCGGTGCAGAGTCCTGTTGGAATATCCAATGCCTGTTCCTGAACATTGTCTGAGAAAGAGGTTCCACTATGTTTGTTAGGACAGTATTTTGATAAACTTCGGCACTAGTTCTCACACCTTTTTCACAGAAAAACACCTCAGTTACGCCTGAATATGAGACTCCAAGCCAAACCATGAATGAGGAAGGGTAATGCCCACGCTGGACCCTCGCAATACGCGCGCTTGCTTCTTCACTGCTGTGGGCATACACCTTATCATTTTGTTTGTTAAAACTTTCTTCAATAGTAAAAATTTTTTCATCCGAAAAAAGAATTTCGCGGTATTTTTTTCCCGCGTACCGTCGTAGCAAAGCGCGGGATCTGTCTAGCCTAATTTTTTTTAAACGCTCGTTCAAAAAATGTCCTGTCTTTTTACGATAAGCTCGTAGTCCCAGGTCTTCATTTAGTACTCTTTTAACAGTGGTTCTGCTTAGCCCCATCTGCAGAGCTAGGATTTTTTGTTTACGTACGGGATTTCGTTCGATTCGCGCCTTCACTGCTTTGATGACCTTATGTGTCCGAACTGTGCGAGGTCGGCCGCTTCTCTTACGATCTTCGAAGCTTGACTCTTCGGTGTATCGTTTGATAGTACGATAAACAAACCGTAACGTTATTTTCAAATTTTGAAGAATATTGAAAATGTCTTTTGGCGCGTAACCACAGCGGTGCAACGCGATAACCGCGATTCTGTCTTCTTTATTCGACCACTCCATATTTAAAAATGAATAAAAAATAATTTCTTTTTTATTTTCTACAAGCGCGAAAGTTCTATTTTTAAAATAAGTCGAAGAATTTCTGGCCAGTAATCGAAAATTAAAAATATAAGGTTTTGACAGAACTTATGACCCGACTAAGTATATGTCTTATAGCAGTTTATATTATTTATTTATTTATTTATCACCAACATACAACTACTATCACAGGAAATTCCTAATACAATAGTGTAGTAACATTATAAAGAAATACATAAAATCAAAAACAATACAAAGAAACCTTACATACTAATTATAAAATAAAATTACATAAACTTTCCTATATTTATTTGTCGGAGCGTCGACTATTTAAATTGAATTTTGAAGGAGGTTTTATTACAATTCATCGGACGAGGGTACCATAAATCGTACTCTGGCGGAACGTCAAACTGGCAGTTCTGCGTGCGCATTGTGGAGGAGAGCGAGCGCTGTGACTGTCATCTGAGACGGATCGCCGACGTATTTTTGTAATTTATTCGGCCTGATTATAAAATCCTACGCCCTGCGATGGACTGTGAAGACGATGATCGGGTTGTTGATGTTTGTACCAACCCCCCGGTGCCTTCATATTTATTATAATATGTTTAACATACAAACATATCTCAAGAAATCCTTGAAGAAAATGTTAATTGTTATTATAGCCAAAGAACAAAGAGTACAAATATGATTATTATTATTTATATGAAAGGAGTCGTGACTGTAAGAAACCTAGAAAATCGTGAATTTCACATTATTACATAATGAGTATGTATCTTCTGTAATAGAATATTTATTACGGAAATTCATATAAATCACCTTAACCGCCTATCATAAACCAAGGTTGCAAGCAAGGGCAATTATGTACCGCGGCCTCAGCCTAAAGCAGGAGAAGGAACGGGGTAGTTTTTACCTGTTAGGTTTGGGTTGATGACATAAAAATAAGTGTATTTATCAAATAGCAGAGGTGGAATTTATTGTTATACTTCAAGAAGTATGTGTTGCCTGAAGACGTAAGCAGAACAGAATGAGGGCGAGATGCAAACATCTCAGTGAGGGTTAAGGCACTTATAATAGTGGCGTGACAAATATAAGTAGATTGATTTTTGTTATTCCAACACCAGTAAGACTCTGAAACTTCCCCTAGGGCGAGAAAAGTCATTACGCCCTTCAGAACGCTTACGATTTTGCCATTCCAAAAAAAATCCTAAGTATATCACAAATTATTTGGTGTACTTAAGTGAATAATGTGTACGAATATATCATTGCTTCACGTTAAACGCAATGGGGGTCACCGGTGACCTCCGGTTAGCGGAGGATTTGCCTTCAACAGTTTTATGTCGGCAGTCAAAGGTTTAAAAGCGATCCAAGACAAATATTGTAATAATAATTATTTTTTAATGGGCGTAACCACCGCTATTCTTCTCCCGCTCTGAGAGATTACCTAGAAGCTTACTGACTAAAAATCACCCAGTTCGTTCTCTCGCTCCAGGCTGGGGCTTCGATGCATAATTGCGTTTGCATTAATAACCTTGGCTGAATGTTATTAAATCAATAATATTATTATGGTTAATAACTGGGTATAAAGGATAATGATTTATTAAACCAATTCTTATACCTATTATTCGGAGAATCACCCGGATGCTTAAAACGACGATTTGGGCAATTCTGATGAGAACATTCCTTTAAAGTGAAGCTAATACTGAAATGCGATAATAAATTGAGACTCCCAAAATTGAAAGTGTACTTCGCGATATATGAACATATGAGACCCTATTGGCTATGTGTGCGATGGTGGCGACGACGCTTAGCGTTTACAACATTTGTGGAAGCTGTCAAATAATAACAATGGAAACATTATAATTTTCTTTGCAAATATAAATAAAACCAAAGATTAAAATAGTATTGTTTGACATTATTTAAGTGCAATTTATTCAATGGTTTTACTGTTAAATAATTATAATATTAATAATAGGTTGTAGACATGTGGAGTGTGGACTCGGCTATCATTGTGCCGATAGTTGTGTCGGCAAATGGGTTAGTCCCCAAAAGCCTCGACAACCACCTTAAGAGGCTGACGTTAGGCGGATGGATCAAGGGCCTCATAGAGAAGGCAGTCCTCCTTGAAACGGCACGTATTGTGAGGAGGTTCCTGTCTCTGGAGCCCTAACTGCCGGTAGCTTGGACCTTGCTCCCGCTGCGGGCTGGCTCCTACTTTTATATTTTTAAATATTATTTTATTTTATTTTATAGTAATATTTAAAAATGTAATTTTAGAGTAATTTTAATAAATATATGGAATATTAATAAAAATCGACAGGTGATCATCCGCATTTGTTTCCAATTTCTGCCGTGTGCGCTGCAGTCGTTATCTGTCCGTCACTACTCGCTTTGCACATAGCCAGTAGAACGACCTTACTTACACCTACATTTAAAAAGAATTTCTTAATTAGCGCTTAAATTTTCCCAGAAACTTTCCATCCTGCACAACACTCCCACACAATTCAAAACAACCAACACAACACACATCTAAACCAACTAATCTCCCGTTTGCAGACTAGAAGAAGATGCGCCTCATAGCAACGGCTACGTGAACACCGGAGCCAGCCTCGAGAGTGTGGTGACGGAACAACCAGTCAACAACAACCACCTTCCACCACGAGCCATCACCGGCAGAGAGATCAACGAACTGCCATTGCATGCTGATAAACTTTATGAGGTAGGATTTCGAGTTCATATTGTAATATAATGGAGACCAGAGAAATCAAGAGATCCATCCTTTACAATAATACTATAATGTCGAAGTTTTAAAGTCTCACATCTATGTATACATTCAGTTTTTGTTTTATTTAGAAAGAAGTTGTTCAGAACTTATGTGGAGCCTGCACAATTATTTTGTATGCAGATAAGAAAATGAAAAAAAATCAATGATGTGCCACTATAGTGGTAGTATTACATCACACTAAAAAAACCGACTAATGATTATCAAACTGCTCGATAACTAAACAATGGCTTCTTGTATACTGTATTGAGTATTTTTTTCCTTTGGATAGAACACGTCTAACTAAGCTATTTACAAAATTAAAGTAGTTAATAGCGTGTTAATAATCTATGTGTTTCCATTCTTCCAGGTATTTTCAAAATCTCTAATATTTAGAGACGATCACGAGTTGAAAGATAAAACAGAAAGCACGAACTCTCTCGACGAGCTGGAGACTAAATCAGAACCTGACTATCTGTCTGATAGACCTAATAGAACTAAAGTGTACTTCGAAGATGAAATCAACTCTCCAGTTACCGACTTCGAAATCATGTTCAAAGATGAGTTGCTGGCAAACCACAACATGTTCAAGATTGAAGAAGAAGAAGAGAGTGACACACAAAGCCAAGATACAGAAGAAGGACTAACAATGAAAGACAATATTGTAGCAATTAAGAAACAGGATGTTATCAAACCCAGTACTATTACTATTAAGGATGAAACAAAGATCACAACGCTAAGTCCAATATACCAGTACGATCCAGTATCCTCTATGGCCTTACCATCAGCTTTCTCCTTACCAAGAGTGGAGAGTGTGAAAGGTATCTTGAGGTTAAGAGGGGACAATGAGTTCCCAAGAAGTAACAGCTCCAAGAATTTAGAAAGAATTGATAGCAGTGGCAAGCTGACTAAAACCATCAGCAGAGTCGATAGTTTGAAGAACATAGATCCTAACAAATTGAATAAAGTGCTGTCGAGGGTACCACAAAGGAGTGCTTCGTTCTTGAACATTCCTGAACATTTGGCACCTGAGAAACCGCCTCTAGTTAAGAGTAAATCCATGGTAGGAGTGATGTCCGCAACAGAAGAATTGAAGCTGAGTCAGTTGCCTGATACTCCTATTATAAGGAGTAATAATTTGCCAAGGTTCTTTGCTGATACTCCACCTCCTCCAGAATATAAGGGTGAAACAAGTTTGCAGAGCATCAAGCAGCAGTCAGCGTTGATGTACCAAGAAGATTTTAGTATGCCTAGATATTATGGGACTATGTCGAAATCGACAGAACAGCTGTCAGTGCATGAGAGCAAATCGATGCCGGATTTGAGAAACCCGACCAATTCTTCTGGAAGGGTCAGTAAAAGACTCGTCAAACTCCGAAGCAGGTTAAAGCCATTAGTTATAAAGAAGAATTCGAATGAGAAATTGTGAATTCTATAAAATGACCTGAAGTGCCTTTGTAAGATAGTATTAATAAAAAATCTTTCTGTAAGTATTTAAAGAATTTGAATTTGAAAGATCTCTGTACAGTTGTAAAGAGTTTTTGTGACTTACACCTCTTTTATTCAAACAAAACTATGACTCTATTTTTTTATTACATAGTATTACAATGTGAAAATAAGTTATCATGATCAACCAGTGAATCGTAGGGACATACAGATGTTTATGATTTAACCAAAACCGTCTTAAATAACTCAATATAATATCAAGTTAAGGTAAAAAGTCTATTGAAGGAAATCACAAATTCAGGTTAACTTGACACGCTGTCTATACCTACGTACATAGAGACAAAGGTTTGTGTTGTTTCATTATTAATTATTTATTGTTTTAATTTTAATCTTATCTTTAGTGTACCAGTGACTTGTTATAAACATTTTTAATTTAATTAAGTTAATAAGCAAATTACCAAAATATTTCGATTGTAAGTTTAGCTCAGAACTATTTGTGATTTTGTTGTAAATTTGTAGATTTTTTAAGTTATAATTAATAGTATTTGTTATCCTACCTATCGTTGTAAGTACTTAATTATATTATTGTCTAGTCATTTATCATCACATTAAAATGGCGGCACACTGTATTTTTATAAGAATTGTATATATATAGGTACTTAATAAAAACTTCACCCAAAATATCTTTTAATCTCCGTTTTAAATAAGTTTGTATGTAAATGTAGTATTTTTTGTATACTTAAAGGTCTAAAATTAAAATTCAATTTACTTACTTAAAATATATTTTTCAGTATTTTTTGTAGTGTCAGGTAAGTTCTTGGAAATATTTTTCGGGAGTTTTGATAATGATTCTGAAAAATATATTGATTTTACAAAATACATATGTTGCAGTTAAGATGGAGATATATAAAAAAAAACTACCAATAAATATTATTAGCGGCCAGTTTTTTTCAAAATTGTATCGAACGTGGTGCGTACCCCAGCGCCGGCCACGGAGGTGGAAAAAGAGAAATTCTGAAAGACCTCCTCAGTTTTCAACTCGACCATTACATAACAGGATATTAACAAAACTTTTTATATGTATACTTATTTAGTTTCATACAGTGAGCCGCCTTAAACGTAGGTACTTAGATTGTCGAACAAAGCAATTGAGATCTGCATAATATTCATATGTTTCATTATTTTATCAACGCATCGCATTGTACATACCTACATACTTACATACATATATAGTTTATTGTTAAATGTTGTTTCCAAATACATGTCAATTTAAAAATAATTCCTGTTTTTTATTGTTATTTTGACCCATTTTTTTAATTTGTATTGGACAAGCATTTGGCCGCTGATGATAAGCGATGATGCCACCTACGACGGAGCACGTCTGCCCATAAGAAACCTATTTACTCGGTTCTTGAAGACACCCAGGTTACACCTTTCGGGGAACACAGACTCTGGCAATCATTCATACAGACGGATTACCTGTTGGTTAGCTATCAGCGTCGCCCGTGGACACCCGCAACAACAGAAGCGTTACGAGTGCGTTGCCGACCTTTAAAGATTGGGGATTTAGAGATTTAGGGGATCAGGGTAGGGGAAAGATTGGGCCTCCGATAACCTCACTTACACGGCGAAACACAACGCTGTGGTTGTTTCACGCCGGTTTTCTGTGAGGCCGTGGTATCACTCCGGCCGGTATCTTAGCTGTTCTGATAAAAAAAAAAACTGGAGGCGAACCGCTTCGTGCGTGAATCACCGTGAAGCGAAGACGTTTTACCGATTATCTGGTTTCTGGTGGAACAATGGTGGAAAGAACTCGAAGGACCTGTTATAATGTTGACGGTACACTTCAAGCTAGAAAAAGAACAAAGTGGTATTAGGTTTGTAACAGTCTGAAACGATCTCTCGTCTCACACTGGGCAAGATAGGTAATATGACGGTTTTCCACCCTCAAAAATATAAATAACTAGCAAACTAACTAATCGTAGCGTGATGTTTTATAGCCTATAGCACTCAGGAACATTGTAGCTATCTATCAGTGAAAGAATTTTGGGAATCCGACCAGCGGTTCCAAAGATTACCGCCTACATACAAACTTACAAATTTTACCTCTTTATAATATTAGTTTAGAAGAAGTCAAGGAAGAAGAAATAAAACAATTATATAAAAAAGCGCACGTTTTTATTACAGTAGGTATCACTATCTCATAAATATCAGTGTAGTTCATAGTTTAGGTAAACATTGTCCAATCCTTACACCCTACGCTAGAGCGCCTCTAGTCAACTGGAACTATACTAATATACACCTAAACTTCATTACAATAGAGTTTAAAATTACTTTATCAAGGCGAATCTTAGACGACAGGGAAAAAAGATACAACTAGGTAAGTACTGAAAGGAGTTAGTAATATTATTCTATATTTAAATCATTTACAATAATTGTAAGGAGTTTATATTTATAATAATGAAGATCACAAATTTCTACTTAATGTCTAAGGGAATAGAATACTATTTAGTTTGTTTTATAAATAGCATAACGTATTCGGTTTCTCAATGTTCGAACGCACTTTTTCTGGTAATTTGAAACTTATTTTTGTAACGTTAAGTTCTATATTGGAACATTAAGAAACCTTTATTAAAATTAATTTCACAAAAAGGAGATTTCTTTTTTATTCGCATAGAAAAAATATTTAAAATTTGAATTAAAATTATTCAATGTTGAATAAAATTAAGCCATTTTGGAATCACTACAAAAATATAAAATTTGACATAATTTTTATTCAAAAAATTAAACTTTGACTTTTATGACATTTTATAAATGTATAAGTAATAACAATAATATTTGCTATTTATACAAGATTTAGCTAAAAGTGAGGCCGTACTACAAAAATCTACAACCTGAATTATTGAAACGCCATTTAATTTTCAGTGACATGACATTTCAAAGCATCCAGGTATAAAATAATAGTTTAAAAACTCAACGATTAAAGAAACAAGCTTGTGATCGATTGCTTATTGTGTTCAAGAAGGGCAAAGACTGTTCGTATTCAAAAAGCAATGTATTACAAAGCTCGTATTTTAATCGTAGCGCACTTAAACCGCAATGAAAAATCGACTAAATATGCATATATAATAGGCTAATAGGTAGGTAGTATTTTTTTTCTAAATAATGTAATAATTTTATTTAAAAGAGAAAAGACTTTATACACTTTACAACTTTTTAGAATTATGCTACGCAATCCATTCATTTTATTTAAATGCATTATTTTAAATTTAAATTTTATCATAAAAAATCGCAAGTTTTGCATTTTTTTTTTCATAAATATCTAATTATTTTTTGAATATAATTTAGCTATCAGCGAAGTCTGAAGTTACGAATATTATTATACAAGGTAAAGCTGTGAACACCGTCGTATTAATTTATAATTTAATAACAATTTTATAATTTTATATAACTTATAAATTACCTAATTTATTTCAACAACAAACATAATTATCGGTTTTATTCATTACTTATATAATTTCACGCTGTTTTAGACGGTGTTCGAAATTTAACAAACTGTTGTTGAAATATAAAATTATGACTCAAATTATTATTCTAAATTTGAATTATGAATTTTACATTCGACAACTTGAATTATTTATACATAATATGTAGAAAATAATTCCATATCTACCTATTTTATTTGAATATAATTCTCGTCAGATATCAGGCAAGACGGTTAAGGGAAGAAAAAATGTTTTTGCTTTTAATTTTTTTAATAAATAAGTGATTCTCATTTTGAATATTCTGTAGACTGCTTGAAAAGACAAATTACTGCCTTAATAGACTGTGTTTTTTTTTTTCAATAAATGTATATATTTTGGAGAAACCCTCAACTTTTTCTTATACACTTATAGTTGTTTTGTCAACCTTCTCATTTCTTCACCATTTCTCTTACATAATTGACAATATTTTAATTAAATTGTTAATTTAAAAATGTTCGCATTATGACTTGCCTTCTATCTGACAAGTGTTTGAGCCCTTGTCACAATTCGTTATTTAGTTGACATTAAATTAAATTTTAAATACTTGGATTATTTTATACGGAAACTTTATTTTGAGATAACAATGTTAATTGCAACTTGTTTCGTACACGTAAAGGTACAGATTTGTGAAAACTGAATACAAAACAATGACGATCGATACTTCTTTTTTCTCATTTTTTTTAAGAAATCAAAGTACTCATTTTTTTTAAAGAAATCAAAACTCAAAGCAGGTTTATATTTTATAAAAGACCCCTTTTACTGGGGGTTGGGTATTATAGTGAGGTAAGAATACATGGCCTAGTTCTTCTTTCAGCCTAACAAAAAGTTAGAATTGTGACAAGAGCTCATTTCTAAGTGCAAATACCTAAAAGTACTAAGTTCTGTACTTACAGTACTATGTAGGAGTCTAGCTTCTAGCGACGGTAGTGGAGAAGCCTATACTAGAAGGCAACTTAGACATATACGTACGTAGATACGACTAGATTTCATGTACTTTCTTATTTTATAAATACTATAATAAACTTTTTATGGTACGACGTGTTCCAATTTTGAATTTATTGCAGTATCTGTGGCACCTATTTTTTAAGTCTGTATCGGTGTAAGAAAAAAAAATGTAAAAAAAATGCAAAATAAAAACAAACAAATGCAAATGTATAAATTGTAAAATAATTACCAATTTAAACCAATAAAAAGTACTTAATATTTAGCGAATTAATTTGAGATATTATAATTATAATTAATTCACTATAAATACAAACTACAAACTATTCATCTTGTACTGAATTAAGGTGTATTTAAACTCTGCAAATCTAATTAAAATACTGAGGCGTTGACTAAGCTAAAAATCATGGGTTTTATCGGCCTTAGTAAATAAAATCTTAATCTCGATATTCTTAGACTAACCAAAACTAATCGTTTAAAATTATATAGGTAAATGGCAAAATATTTTTGATCATAAAAATTTACTGATGAACTTAACTTTTTACATTCTATTTTTAATTAAATATAAATTGTTCTTCGTCGTAGTTTTTAATCGCGCGTGTCAAAGACTTCACAAAATGGCGTCCGAACTCAAAATGGCCGACACAATGACGTTAAGACTTTCCAAATTACTCACATAAAATTAAGTAAAGAAAAAGTTCTACTTTGCTTTACAAGACCTATTTGAAAGCATCTAAATATAGTTTTTTAAAATTTAAAACTAAACTATGTTTTTCTGTGGTCCTTGGTGCATCCGAAGATTTGTAAAAACACGTGAAACTTTTGATTGGCAAATTGATATTTTTAACGATTGCAAGTATTGTATGAGTGAGTTAATTTATTGTCTAATCACTTGTCAACACTCGATGTTAACTACGGATTAACTAGGTAAGTATATTATTATATTTGGCCTAGATTTAAATCTAATTTAGTTTTCGAAAAGTCTGCAGATGTAATAACCTATTTTCAGAGCAGTAAGCAGTCCTTTAAGGCCACAGTAATTGTAAAAGAAGTTATAAGAAGCGTACATCAATATGTATTTCTTGTGTGAAAGGACCAGTTTTGGTCCTTCGAGACAGAAACGGATACATCAGGCATCTCAAAGTGACAGGTACTTAGATCTGCAAACTAACGAATCTACAATAGAGATACACTAGTTTTGGTGTCACAGTCTACCCTCTAGAAATAAACTGGAGTTTTACCTTTTTTTAAAATAATTGCATTACATTGTCTACTGATCCATTTCAATTCTATAATGCTACACGTGATAGGTAAAGAAACAGTGATATCACTATGATGCATAAAAAATATCATTTAAATTTGCATCCGACAGTTCATTTTGTACAGCTTCCATCATTCGTTTGTAGTTAGCTCAGCACTGGAGTTGTGTTTCAAAAATCTTCAACGGCATGTAGACGACTCGACTCATATTTAGGAACATCCAAAATACTCTATCTCACACTTTATCAGTCCTTAGATTCACAACATCAAAACAGAATCTTAACCATATCTCAAAATAGCTTCATATCCAATCTTGGACACTGCCATCCGATAGCAAAATCTTCAACAGAATCTGGTCCTTCGATCCAAAACGGTGACACCAAAACTGGTCACACAGAGTCTAATGAATTACCTAACTGTCTTGAACCGCTTGACTTTGATTGTGGTCTTGTTTCCGCAGAGCTTTAGAACGGCAGCTACTCCCAAAAGATCTGCAGAAGATACGTCCTTACCATCCACTGTTATAATGAAGTCTCCGCGCTGGATTCGGCCATCTAACTCCGCTGGAGTTCCGGGTAGCTGGAAGAATTGAAAATAGGATGTTATTATTTTTATGTGAATGACTTTTTTGGTTATTGAATCGCTACAATGAAGAGAATGAAAACGGAGATAAGGCTCACAGGGGGTAACAAATCTAAACACAAGAAAGAGTTCAAAAATAAGTGGTTTAAAGAGAGCAGTGTATAAGACAGTGATGCCATATTGTATTGTCACTTACAGAATGTTAGGACGGAATCAAATAGCTTATTTTCGTCATCATGATCATCATCAGGCCTATATATAGGCCACCGCTGAGTGAAGGCCCCTTCTCACTCGGAGAAGCTTAGAGCATGAATCACCACGCTTGCTCATGGCGGATTGGCGATTCTTAACTTATAATTAGAAATCGGGGGTTCCAAGTTCCTCACGATCTTTTCCTTCACCGTACATCGGCGGAGTCCAAATAATGTTAGACAGTACATATAACTTGGGAAAAACACATTGGTACTTGCCAGGTTTCGAAACCCGTACCCTCGTGCAGGCGAAGCGGTCGACTTAAACTTAACTTCCAAGCCGCTCATTTTTTATTATAATATGACCAAAAAGGCATTTTCGCTAGAGAATCTGGAAGTTTATACTCACTAGTTGTCCCAAATAGACGCCGGGCGCCTGTACAGGTGCTACGCAGGTAAGTCCAAGCGCCTTCCCAGCCTTGCGCGTCAGGTCTATCTCCACCTCCTCGTACTTCAACGGCTCTTGACGGTGAACTGTCATTTTTAGCTGCAAAAGGCGTATAAATATATAAGAAAGTGAAAAAAATACTTTAGAAATTGTAAGATTATAAATATTGTACATGGCGAATACCAGTAGATGATGAGTTTAAAATTTTCAAATTGATTGTTGTTTAAGATGCTTGTTTTATATCAGAGTCATAAAAGAGTGGTAGTATATTCATTTTTCACAGGGAGTTAAAAAAAACAATTCTAATATAGATTGTAGTTGATGTCGATGATAACCATAATTTCATATGTATTAAAGTTTTCGGAAAATTCCAACCAAAATACAATTTAAAGTCAAAAGCATTTTTCCACTAACAAGACATATTACACAAATAGACACTTTTGAAACGTCACAACAAAAAGAATACTCCGTCTGTCAGTCTGTCAGTGAAGAAGAATAAATAAGAACAAGCAAAAATCTCATAATTTTGTATCATACACAACATAATTTCTGATCCAAGAAAGGCTGGACAATAGGTTCCATAAACATCCATTACCTTAGCAGTTTTCTGCTTAATGGTGAGACAGACACGTTCGTGCGCCATTTCTTTGGTGATTGCTACTCCGTTGCACTCGAGGATCTGGTCTCCGACCTTAAGCCGGCCATCCTTTGCTATCGCGCCGTTCTTGTATATATCTAGGATGATCGCCGATGCTCCCTGTAAAATGGTAATTTCAAAGGTAATAATGGGAATACTGGTAATTTCTATATTTATTTCTAATCCTCAAAAAGTTGAGGGGTATAGTTTGGAGTATTTAATAAATGAATCCGTTCAATGAAAGTTAATTGTCCTTGGATGGATCCAGTTCATCGGTTAACCACTCCTACTACTGGTGTTGCTAATATACGGCAATGGACGGGAACAGAAACGCATGATGATAACGATTACCATGATAATGATAAACAACAGTTGCTACCTGATTTATCTGATAGGTCGCTGAACGCAGATGAATTACCTGATGGTAAGCAATCTGCGCCATCACCGCCCATGGGCAAGGGCAACACAGGAGGAGTTACGAGTGCTTTACAGGCTGTTTAGGGATTAGGGTTTCAGAGATTTAGGGAGGGGAGAGGAAGGCTTAGGCCTCCAGTAACCTTACTCACTCGACGAAATATACCGTTGTGCTAGTTTCACGTCGGAACTTACATTGATTAAAGTATCGCTGCCCCCAAGTAGCAGAACGCCGAGAACTTCGTTAGCAGAGTTGATCTCTATCACCGTGTCCACGTTAGGAATAATCGGCGCTATAGACGGATCTGGTGGTGGCTCCACTGTAAAGAAAATATAATAATTTCGATAGAATAGATTTTGTTTGAGGTCGACTCGATCGAGTTTAGTTGTGAACACAATGATATTATTAACACTAAGCAAACATAATATTTTTATCTGGGCAACCTCTGCAAGGTATACGTCTGCATACATAAGGCTGTCTCTAGTCTACCTATACTATTACAAAATAATTAATTTTGGGTCCGGGTACGTAGGCCAATAAGACGAACGGATCCGATCCGAACAACTATGGATACCAGTCTACAAGGCGCTATTCATCCACCATTAGTTCCATTATAAGGATAGGAACGAATAGTGACCAATTATCAGGTATCCTTCTAAGAAAATCTTTATACAAATAGGCAATCATAACAAACATTCTGATCCCACAAAAATTGAAAGAATTTTCAAAATGTCCAACTCCTTAAAATTCTCTTTTTTAACGTTATATGTTTGTGTTTGTCTTGGCAATGTTTATGTTATGAGTGTTGTATTACCTTTAACAGGTGAGGGTACAGGGCGTGGCGTGTGCGGTCGGCTGGCATCATTCTGCGCCGCACGGCTTGCTGGCCGGGACGCACCTCCTGGACCATCTGCACCTGGAACACGTATGCCATGGCTGTAGCTTTACAGATTTTCATGTACTATTTTACATATGACATGTAAAAGCTCAGTAGTTTTTTTTTTTGTAATTGGTCTTTGCCCGACTTTAGGATTTTCTCCTGTGTTGCTGAAAATTGTATGTTTGTACCAACGGGGTAAAAATTTCACATACACTTCATATCTAGACCCGAATCAACAAGTTGTGCATCACACAAAGACTTGTTCCGTGCGGGAATCGAACCCGGGACACATAGCGCGGCATCCAGGCGGCTACACTAACACCATGGGCCATTGTTATTTCAGCAAATTGTACCGTTAATACTTTCTTATAGTAGAAGAGTCTTAATTAATATATTTTTGTAAAAAAAGCAGATTCGTCGTTCCCTGCCTATTTTATTTTTATTGGTAGTGCGTAAAAAGACTTGGTTGAATGACCACACTCATTTGTCTTCTCTGGCAATGCGAGCGTGACCTTGAGCGACGCTTACCACTACCGATTAAGTGATCTCCCTACTAATTGAAATAAAAAAATAATCTGTCTTCTATTTTCAACCAGAACATCTAAGTAAAACAAAACTAACCACTAGGTGTGCCCGGAGTGGTGGCGGTGGCAGGGGACTCCTCTCCCGGCTCCTTGAGATTCGGAGTGCACACCGTGAGGACTACGACTCCCTCCGTCTGCTTCAACTTGGCAGCCGCCTGAAATATTAAGAGAGGTCTTTAATTGAAATATGTACTTTTGATGAATCAGGGAGGGACATTCCTTAAGTCACCACCAAGAGACAAGGCAGGCTTAAGGCAACAGCAAATCGTTGAAGATCTATTCTTGCATAGCACTGAATCAGCTGTGTTTACTATCATGTCATATCATATCACGCTGTGCAATAAGCAATAAGCGTGTCATTTAAGGAGTTTAGACAAAAAGAAATGTTATACTGAATAGTGAAAGAGAGTGCAGATGAAAGAAAATATTGGTTACAATTTTATCAGATTTTGAAAGAAAAAACCCGTTAAGTAATAGAATTGATAATAAGACCCTCTATTATATTTATGTGATTTTAGCGTTTTGAACAGTGTCATAATATTAGAGGCTATGCTAACGAGATAAACACGCAATGAAATGTTCTTAGTTTTTATAATAAAAAAACAGTATGATGATTCAGTAATCACACGCAATTTTAAGAACGAGACGACTATTTTTATCTCTTTTATTCCTATTGTCAAAGCCGTATTATCCAAAAATTAAAACAAACGATGCAAGCACTACGATGATGCGGTAATCACATGCGATGTTAAGAACGATACGATTATTTTTATTTCTTTTATTGCTACTATCAAAACCATAATTTATCCCTAAGATAACTATGCAAGTGCTTAAGAGCGCCAAGTTATGTGCGTGTGAGGCGCGGTGCGACGCAGAAATAGGTCAAACAAGTTAGGGATGCCTATAAGGTATTTGAATTGGGTGCTGTTCAGGTTCAATTCGTCTCTGTTTACTATATGCACTTATGTAATGAAAGCCAATTTAAATTACTTACAGCATCATAACTGCAGTTCAGCAAGGAGTCTCTATTCACAGCCAGCAGCATGTCTCCAATTTGCAGACCTCCCTGGAACCAAAAATACATAACATATTAGCACATTATGTTTATATAATCAGACGATTGTTCGGTTATATTAATACTAGCTCCTTGTACAAAATTTAAAAAACTTTCGCGTTTTTTTTAATCCCATTATTAAGTGGGTATTAACGCGAAAGTAATTATTTCTTAGTCTCAACGTTTCGACCTGGTTGAACAGGTCGTGGTCGTAAGCAGACTGACAGTCTCAATGATATATTGTTAACCATGTGTTATTTCAGACTATACCTAATCTATCTCTGTGCTAAATTTCTTCCAGATCCATTTATTAGTTTTGCATAAAAGAGTAATAAACATTTTTTTAAATCAAGTATGGGAGAGCCATGCATCGACAAGGAATGGACTGGTTTGGCCGGAGTGATAACCACAGTCTCAAAGAAACCAGCGTGAAGCAACACTCACGTAGTGAATGTAAGGATAGCAGAGGCCCAATTCTTCCCCAATACCTAAATCTTCAAATCACTAATCCCCAAAAAGGCGTGCAAAGCACTCGTCACTCCTCTGTTGTCCGGGTGTTTATGGGCGGCACTGATTGCTTACCATCCGGTAATCTGTCAAATAGTTTAAAGTCCCATCAGATAAAAAAAAATATTTTAACTTTGACTTGGTCTTAATTGGCGACAATTTTGAAAATGGGACATCCAAATACATCATTTCTGAGGCTCAAAATCGGAGACAATTAGAAATATATAGTAGCAATTAAACAATGCTTTACCGGTTAACAATTGACTGGAACTAATTAACTATGTGCAGTAAGATCGATGGTTATTCATTACTCACTACAGTTAAATTTAACTCAAATAGTTATTTACCTCAACATTTAGTTACGTGTTCATTTACATTACGTCAATTAGAACGCTTTGGCTTTGTTTAATTTTGTGGTTTTCGGCGTAGAATCATAGTTGATTTTTTTTATATCTTAGGTTACCTGATGGTAAGCAATCAATGCAGCCCGTGGACAATTTTAATACCAATGGAGTTACTACAAGTGAGTTGGCGGCACCTTGTAAGTTAGGGATTTAAGAATAGGGGATATAATTTGAGGATTGAGAATGGGGGAGGGTGGGGGAAGGATTGGGCCTCCGGTAACCTCACTTACACAGCGAAACAACTAACACCCGGTTTACGAAAGGCCGATCAATGTTAAAATCAATTAAATCTCTTGTCAAGTCATCTGATTGGTTGTTGATAAATCAGTCAACCAATCAGATAACTTGACAAGAGATTTAACAGGAGATTAGTTAATTTTAGTGTTGACAAGCCTTTCAGAAACCGGGAGTTAGTGTTGCTTCACGCCGGTTTTCAATGAGGCCGTGGTATCACTCCGATGAATTAAATGCGAAACTTTGATTGTTCATAGCCACATTTGTCTAAATTACTAAATTTATTTTGATGTATTTCTATATAGATATAGACGCGATTCTAAAATTTTTTAGTACGCCAACTGTTAAGATATTGAGTAAAATAAGTGAATTGCCCTAATCCCTTCTTCATATGTGCCGAGATCAGAAATAGTAACATCCTCAAATAGGCAAGCGGTAACCTCACTGCATAACAGTTTAAAGTTATTTTTTTTCTATCCGTGTTTAAACGCAGGTAAATTTAAGCTGCATGCAGGATTTGTGACGTCTATAGTGGATTTTTATCGTCGAGACAGTCCATAGTCTAGCTTAGTAACAAACGAAGGTCATATTAATTGTTGGACCATGCTAGCAGCGTTCTTGTCATGACATACGGTATAGCGTCAAGATGACGTCTTATAAGAACGTGTTAATTACGTCATATATTTGGGAGGAAACATTTCTGTGATATTAATGTGGTCATTGTTAAGAGTAAGCATTTGAACCCATGTTCAAAAAAAAAACGTATTGCTTAAATACTCGTGTGAATTCTGCATCTATCAAGGCCTCAGGAATGGACAAATTCAATCTTTTAACTGTGGTAATCAGAGACAAAATAAAAGAACAATATGTGCGCGAACGCCGGCGATCGCTTGGAGTTTGATGAATTAATATCAAAATCCTAAACATTTAAGGAAATTATTACTAAATTATTATAGTATGTATACCTATAGTTACAATCGGGAAACCTACAAAATATGTTGAGAATAAGGACTTATTCATCTGAATGAACTGAGAAAATCTTCGGTTTCTTTTAATCGAGTCGGCTACGTAATGTCGCCGTAACGCTCATGAATAAGAGTCCCGCTGTGACTTGAAACTAGTCGAGCTTATCTCAGTTAATTCTCATGAGTAAGACGTTATCTTCACCAAACTAAAAGATTTGGTGGATCTGGTGCAGTAAAAACTCATGAACTGACCTGTTCTGCAGCACTGCCTTCCTGCAGGTCTGACACGAAGATACCGCGTCCAGCCTCCGTGTGACGACCCTCGATTATCATGATGCCCAGACCTGATGGACCCTGGAATAGTAAAAAATCATATTAGAACCGATGCCATTGGTCTACTTCCTTCCTCCCTTTTCAGTTAAAGTTGCCTGTCTGTGTTATTAGACTTCGCAGTAGATATACTGCACAATTGTATGAGCGAACACAGGTGCACTCTCTGTTCCTTCACTGGAGACAGGCTAAGCTTGGCTTTCCGAGGGATGAGACACTGCCGAACTTCCAGTCCACCATTGCCTAATCCGTTGGTAGACATTTGAAAACCACAATCACACAGGTTCTAGTGCGAATTAATTCTAACGTTAAGGAGATCATCATGTCTATGAAGTTCAGCGCTTTGATTGGCCAGCTCCAAGTCAACCAACCAATCAAAGAGCTAAACTCGGTAGCGTTTCGATCGCGTTACCTAAACTTTTACTAGGCTCTCAATTTGTTTCACTACCAGTTCACTCGTATATCAACACTTTTATAAAAACAAAAATGTATGAAAATATTTATCTCATAAACGGACTAAGCACGACCATTATTTAAATACACAAGATAACAAAAACAAAATGAAGGGCACTATAGGAGTTTTATCTTTTATGTAATAATGTTAAGCCTTGCGATGGACAGGAGATAACAAATAACTAACACATGTTACATTAATTTAGTATTATCTTGATTAAACATACAGTTCAAACACTTAAAAACAGACTCTAAACTATGAATGGTGCATATAAAGGTGTTTTTCTTAATAATGGGTTGGCGTTTGGCCGCTATCTTGCCGCTTGGCCGCCTGGTGGTAAGCGAATGAAGATAAGCGACCTACGATGGAGTACGCCTACCCATAAGTAACCTATTCAGTTGGACCTTGAAGATATCCAAGTTAAATCCTTCGGCAAAAACCACAGACTGTCAAAAAATGCCATTCCATAGCGGTTCTGATGATAAAAGATGGAGAATTTTTCAGATTTATTTTCTGAATCTTCTGAACTACAGATCCAGATTCCAGAGAATTATTTCTGTGATGAGAAACCCATTTATCATGAAGGACGTTTAACGCTAAAACATCATAATGGAACTTCAGAAAGTGGAATCAAACGACACCTATAACCTATAATCGACCAAATTGACTATTTGTTTATGCATATTTTGCTTTTCCACGTATATATCATAGACTACAATCAAGAAGAAACAAGTCGCGTGAAACCGCGGATAGCTACTTGTATTATTAAAGAAGAAAAGTCTGATGTTCATACCTTCTTGATGGTGATATCCCTGACTCCTTTGTAGCCAGCGAACCGGTCCTCCGACTGCAACAATCAAAGTACTACAATTAATAACAATCACTAACCAGATTTTTTTTTGAGTAACTGTGGGAAATATCGCTTAGGCACATAAATATGAGCCGGCTCGACTAGAGTGCTTAAGTCATTGCAACCAAATAAAATTTTTAAATGTACGTATTCTTTTCTATTTCTTATACTTTGCTGGTACTAAATTATTCTCCTATTAAGTGCGTGTAGTATTAATATTACACATATATTTTTTTGCAGACGGATTCCCTGATGGTAAGCAATCAGCGCCGCCCATGGACACCCGCAACGAAGGAGTTACGAGTGCGTTGCCGACCTTTTAGGAATTAGGGATTGAGGAGGGATAGGGGGAGGGGAAGGATTGGGCCTCCGGTAACCTCACTCACACGGCGAAACACAACGCTATGGTTGTTTCCGGTTTTTTGTGAGGCCGTGGTATCACTTTATAATATACTCTATAATAAACCGTCCTCTGCAATCACTCTTTCTATTAAAAAAAACCGTACCAAAACCCGTAGCCTATTTTTACAGATTAAGGGCTGATTTTTCAATGGTCAGATAAAAGTTATATGTTGAATAATTATGATGCTGTCGCGTCAGAAAGTTTGTATAAGACAGTGACTGCAACAATTTTATTCCTCAGATAACATTCATCTGACTATTGAAAAATCAAACCTTAAACATAAATATGGATCTTCATCATCAGCCTATAAGTGCCCTCTGCTGTGCAATAGCCTCTTCTCATACTGAGAAGAATAGAGCATTAATCACCACGCTTGCTCAATGCGGGTTGGCGATTTCAAACTTATAATTAGAAATTATAAGTCCAGGTTTCCTCACGATGTTTACCTTCACCGTATGTCAGTGGTGTCTAAATAATCATAGAAAGTACATATAACTCGGAAAAAGTCACATTGGTACTTGCCAGGTTTCGAACCCACACCCTCATGCATGAGAAGCGGGCTCTTTAACCTTCTTAATATGGATCTAGGGTCAGAGAAAAAGACTTTGATTAATATAGTGATGAAGTTTTAAGACGTTTCTGACGTTTTTGACGCTTCAAAAGTACCTATTTATGGTTTAGTCGGAATAAATGACTTTGATTTGTTTCAGAAAAAAATTACTATACCGCGTCTGTAAGTAGTAATGACAAGTAAGCTTTACATTTTCATATTTCTATATATAAAAATGTAGGTTAGTCCATACTGTTTCAGGTTCTCCAATGTGTACATAAGGTGTTAACCGAACGTGCCGTTATTTGAACAGTTGCTTCTATTTACTTACACATATGTGTGTTTATATTATATTTGCTTATATACATATATGTACATAGGTATAGAATAGCTTGGTAAGAACAATGCGTGGTAGTCCAAAGATAGGGCTATTTATATTTATAAGAGTTTTTTTAACGTAATATATTTATATATCCAAAGAGAGTTTACATAAAAGCACTCTTAAAGATTGTGAGTACGCATATGTGAGCGCCATGTTCGAGACGACAAAGAATTAAAATTTAGTGATAGATCCCATCATTTGTTTTTTTTTTTACAACTTGTCTCTGCATTGTTCACACATAGGGGTACACTAATGTATACTATAAATGTTATATTATTGAAATTGTAAAACAACTTTTTTTTTAAAGAGTAACGATGGAATTTCTTTCTCGTTAGTCTCCATTCGAATCTACAATTTGGAATGAGCATCTAGCTTCACTGACGAACAGACTGACAGACTACTTTTCTAGACGTTGAAAAAGTATTTTTAAGTACCTATATATTGACTTCTTGAAGTTATATATTCATTTTCAAGTGTGGGAGAGCCATGCTTCGGCACGAATAGGTCGGCTTGACCGGAGTGATAAAACGGCCTCACAGAAAACCGGTGTGAAACAACCACAGCGTTGTGTTTCGCCGTGTGAGTGAGGTTACCGGAGGCCGAATCCTTCCCCTTGCTTTCTCTATCCCTATATCCTATTTTTATTTTACCATATGATGAAGAAACACATTGTGAGGAAACGTAGACTTATAATTATTAATTAAAGGTATAAATTTGTCAATCCGCCTTGACCTGTTAGCCAAGAGTCACGCTAACTGAGACATTAATGAGCAAACCTTCTCCGTGTGAGAAGATCTTTTGCTCAGCAGAGGACACTTATAGGCTAATCATGATATCTTCTATATGCTTACTGTATGAACTGACTCAATATTTATTTTCGTTCGTCTACCAAGTACATAATATATGCAGGATTCATATTTATGTTCTACGAAATTGATTCTGTATTCAGAATATATAGTAAATATGTACTTACCTATGTTTAAGCTTAATTAGTGGCGTTTCTAATTAGGTTTTCCTGCATTATTTGTATCGAAAATAAACGCTACATACAGCATAGTATAGGTAACTATTGATCATAAGAAACAGTCGTGTTAAAAGTTTTACATAATCGTTGACAAATTGTTATTTATATTAGTGTAAAAAGCTAGAGGGAATTCTAGTAAATATTAGATTAAGTTTACACTGTCATGTAAGTGGAGAACCCTAGTGACACTAACAGGAGTGGACAAAAAGAGGTTGATGTCAATAACGATTTTACGAGCACAAAAAAAAAAATAGAAAATGTAAGAAATTAAAAAAAATATCTTTTAAAGTTTGTTAAGATGGGATATGATAAATGATGTTTCTTGCTCTTTGGAGGTAAAACTACTGAATAGATTTGAATGAATTTTGCACACATAGAATATTTATTTCAGGAACACTAACAAGGGCGTAGCTGGTGGCTGAAAAACTGAAGCTCGTCTGAATACTATACTTATAAAAATAAATCGCCAAATATTTTGGTAAGCGTATAACTCCACAAAGACTGGTCCAATTTTTCCAATTCTTTTTCGTTGTGTTTGTAGTAAAAAAGCGAGGAGAAGAAAATTGGAACATAGCGACTGCTTCCCCATACCAAGTAGGTTTGATTGAGAATAAGTTAACAAATACATGATTACTAAGATTATTTAGACACCACCGACATACGGTGAAGGTAAACATCGTGAGAAAACCTGGACTTATAATTTCTAATTATAAGTTTGAAATCGCCAACCCGCATTGAGCAAGCGTGGTGATTAATGCTCTAACCCTCTCCGTATGAGAAGAGGCCTTTGCTCAGCAGTGGGCACTTATAGACTGATGATGATGATAATAACAAATACAGCTGTTTTGACCAATTCATATCAGTAAGTACTGAGTGGTTGTCGACTTTAACTCAACTTTATGTATAAATAATGATTTTATTAACGCCTTCACATAACACATAGCGCTGAGTCATAGTATGGTAGACAATCGCAGAGGATCCAATTTGTTCTGACGACGAAATCTTTGAAGGACTGATAAAGATAAAAATAATACAATGTGAGGCTTTTTTATATTATTGTCATATTGAAGTATTTTCGGTCTTTATCTTTATCTACTGACGAATTTGATTTTGATACTGATTGAAAAAGGTTAATATGGAGTTTCTTGGGCTTATAGCGCGTTGCTGCGCGCGCCTCGAAAAGTCAATCAAGAAAGACCTCTACAAATGGGGCCCAACACATTTTAGAAGAGGTTGCGGGGCATGCGCAATAAGATACCGCGGCCTTGGCTTGGAGCATGAAAAGGAAGGGTGTTATTTTTACTCAGCAAGAGTCTGACACTCCCTTTCGCCTATTCCTGGGCCAAAAAAGTCTCATAAGTGATATGTCTGCTTGTGACCACGACCTGTGCAACCGGGTCGAAACGTCAAGCTTACCAAGGTATTCAAATACTTAATAATTTTCCGCGTTAATACTTGCGTAAATATATGTATGTTATAAAAGACGTCTATTGATGATTTTCCGCCCACAAAATATGAACACAAAGATTTCATACATTCATAATGTGTGTTGATTGGTCCTTTATATATCGGCCATTTTGTTTTGTTACGCCTTGATCAACAGCTGACCAGTTTACCTTCTGACCTTTCCTATGATGTGGCGTTGCGTATAGTTCCGGGTTGTAAGACCAGCACATTGTTTTTGTAGTAACGGCTATGAATATTTGTAGTACATGTGTATAGAATAATATACACGTACACAGTATGCCAGGGTCAAGATTAAGATGGCTCTATCATTGAGAAGAGATTTGTGAGATGATGAATCACTTTGTCAATCTCAAAACGATAGTGGATTTATCAGAATGTTTCAAAGAGTAGCATTTAATATAGAGAGGTAAGGTTTCTAGAATTTGATGTTGACGCACTTCATGGTGGCTGTCCGAGGTTAAGGAGTCTTCTGAATCAGAAGTTGGTTCTCAAACAGTTTAGGTGTGGGAGAGCCATGCTTCGGTGCGAATCGAAAATAAAAGTATATAATATTATTTATGCTACAAGCGAAATAATTTGTAATTTATTAATATTAAAGCACTTATCTACTAATTAATGTGTTAACGTAGTGTAGTATATATTTAGTCAAATAAGTATTTATGTAGGTATGTATGAATTAGTTTATATATAGTCTTATATTTCGTTTTAATTTAATTTAATTGTTAAATATTTTTATGTAACTTTGTTAATTTTTTTTTTATGTAATAAGTCAGCAAACGAGCAGACGGATTACCTGATGGTAAGCAATCAGCGCCGCCCATGGACACCCGCAACGGAGGAGTTACGAGTGCGTTGCCGACCTCTAAGGGATTAGGGATTTGGAGATTTAGGGATTGGGGAAGGGTCCGAAAAGGGGAAAGATTGGGCCTCCGGTAACCTCACTCACACGGCGAAACACAACGCTGTGGTTATTTCACGCCGGTTTTCTGTGAGGTCGTAGTATCACTCTGGTCGAGCCGACCCATTCGAGCCGAAGCATGGTGATGGCTCTCCCACACTTAAATTGTGTGATATAAAGTTTATTTTAGACTAAGTTTTTAGTTTAAGTTTAGTTTCTTATCTATCGCATTTGGGAAAACCCTGTAAAGATAGAATAAGTTTTTGATAAATAAATAAAACCTGCGTGAAGCAACCACAGCGTTGTGCTTCGCAGTGCGAACGAGGTTACCGGATCTCCAATATATATTTTCGTCATCATCATCATCAGCCTGTAAGTGCCCACTGCTGAGCAAAGGCCAAGCCAAAAGCATTAATCACCGCGCTTGCTCAATGCGGGTTGGCGGTTTCAAATTTGTAATTAGAAATTATAAGTCCAGGTTTCCTCACGATGTTTACCTTCACCGTATTTCAGTGGTGTCTAATAATCACAGAAAGTACATATAACTCGGAAAAAGTCACATTGGTACTTGCCAGGTTTCGAAACCACACCCTCATGCATGAGAAGCGGGCGCCTTAACCTCCGGGCCTCCACCGCATTCGTTATAATTTCGTATGTATATTATATTGCTTTTTACCAACTTGCCAATTTAGCAAGCGTAATAGTTAATGCCCAAACCTTCTCCGTGTGAGATGAGGTCGTTGTTCAGCAGTTGGCAATTACAAGTTTATTATTTAAAGTGATGTGATAGACTATTAACACAATTACAGTTAGGTATGGGAAGGCCAGAATTAATTAGTTTATTTCAAAACAAAATTTTCCGACTTCAATTAGATACCTACCTACTATTCAAATGTAACGTTACTGACAGGAAGCAACGAGGTTCAAAGTTCAACTCTATGAATAGGTGTGTAGCGTCTATTTTTAGATGTTTCTGTACTGAAATTCAGGATTGAAATGGAAAGAATAGATTAAAGTGTATTTTGATAACAAAATAATGCACTAAAATTAATTTGAGTCCCGTAAGTTGTGACTCGAAGCTGGTAATAATAATAATTTACGTTTTGGAGTTGTTATTTTCAATATTATTTTTTATTTTATAGTTTATCAATTATTAATCCTATTCTAATATCATAAACGCTAAAGTTAGTAATTATTAATGAATGCTTAGTATTCTTTCGAGTAAAACAATGGAATGGATTTGAATAAGATTTGGCACAAATATAGATTTAAGTCTGGAATAAAACATACGACTACTTTTTACGCTAATTCTAAGAAATAATTTTTAAATTTTAAGTGTGGGAGCACCATGCTTTGCACGAATGGGTCGGCTCGACCGGAGTGATATCACGGCCTCACAGAAAACCGGCGTGAAATAACCACAGCGTTGTGTTTCGCCGTGTGAGTGAGGTTACCGGAGGCCCAATCCTTCCCCTCCCCCAATCCCTAAATCTCCAAATTCCTAATCCCTGAAAGGTCGGCAACGCACTTGTAACTCCTCCGTTGCGAGTGTCCATGGGCGGCGCTGATTGCTTACCATCAGGTAATCCATCTGCTGGTTTGCCGACCTATTACATAAAAAAAATACATATTTAGGAAACTGAAAAAAAATCCTTTTTCCGAACTGGAAATCCAACACAAGACGCCTTCTTTGACATACTCGTGGCTAATCAACCAATAATGGATATACCTCTCAAATCTATACTAATATTATAAAGAGGTAAAATTTTTAAGTTTGTATGTAGGGCGTAATCTTTGGAACCGATGGTCGGATCGCCAAAATTCTTTCACTGATAGATAGCTACAATGTTCTTGAGTGCTATAGGCTATATATATAAAACATCACGCTACAATTCAATGGCGAGCCGAGCAGCGAGTGAAACCGCGCGAGACTAGCTAGTATCTAATACAAAATACTTTTAAATATTTTCAGCTGAAAACTTTCAGAATGAGTCATTCATTGGTTAAGGCAAACAGTACTGTATGACCGGAAATCGATTACCACAACGGATAGAAATATTTATGTAAAACAAATGTATAACATCTGTTAAAATCTCGATAATAACATTTATAAATCCGTTGTGTTACAATATTATTTTTATAACAAGCCGGTTGTTATTCTCCGAAATGTTAGGTACAGGTACTTCATGGTAAAAGTTGGTATTATGTTTTCATTAGTTAAGTTTAATAGCAGTGGGGCGCCGAATATATTACACTAGTTTTCTGGAGTCACGTTGTGGGAGAGCCAAGCTTTGACACGAATGGGTTCACTCGACCATAGTGATACCACGGCCTCGTACAAAACCAGCGTGAAACAACCACAGCGTTATGTTTCGCCGTGTTATGGGAGGCCCCATCCGGACATTTAGGGATCGGGGGATAAGAATCCCCCAATCCCTAAACTCATGGGTCCTCTGGTGTTGCCGGTGTCAATAATTAACAGATAATCCGTCTGCTCGTTCACTGATTACTATAAAAAAAAGTCAATATCATTTATTTCAATTAGACCACAGTAGGCACTTTTGAACGTCAAGCAAAAAAAGGAAAAAGTATTTCAAGAGCTTTAAAATTAAGCGTGTCAGTCTATCCGTCTGTCCTCTAGTGAAGCTATTTGCTCGTTCCAAAGTGTAGATTTCTATGGAGAAGAACGAGCAAGAAACTCCATGGTTTTTCAATCAGTATTTATAACATAGTAAAACTAGTTTTTGTAATGAGACAATCTTTATTTTGGTACCTGCATATTATCATTAACTAAGCCGAATTTACATAATGAATTTACATACTTTTTATTTCAACAACAAATCAATGTAAACTTATTATTAATGCAAATAAATATCTATAATTTCATTGTTGATTTATTTGGTCGCTAGCCATTAAGACACCGCAGAAACATTTCTTAAGGTCGAAACCAGAATTAGGCAAATTCAATGAATAATTTATTGTGTTTGTGATACTTATATACATAATTAATATATGTATGTACATATGTATATATTTTACCTTTACGACCTACGATAACATTTGCTTAAAGGGCTTCTTTTTATAAATTTAAACAAAACTGTTTGAAATGGTGGAGAGCCATTCTTCGGTACGAATGGATCTCATAGAAAACCGGCGTATAACCATGCAAGCGTTGGGTTTCGCCGTGTGACTGAGGTTACCGGAGCCCTAATTCTACAGCCACTATCCCCAAATTCTCAAACCCCCTAAGGCTTGGCAGAGTACTCGTAATTCCTCGGTGTTTCAACTGACTCGTTTTTTTTATGTGATCGGTTGGCAAAATGAGCTTTGTAAAACAATCGGCGCCGTCCATACATCGTACACCATACACCCGTGACACAGGAGAACTTATGAGAATATTGTCGGTCTTTTGGATATTTGGGTTTCAGAGATTTAGGGAATGGGAAATGGAAAAATGATTGTACCTAATAAAAGTATATAAAAAAAAATGCTAAAAATATTTTTTATTTATTTATACTAAGTTTGTCATTAAATCAACTTATAAATAAGTAAATATTTGTATAATGAATTCAATAAAAACGAGTAACAGGTTTTATATTTCTAAGATAATTATAGAAACAAGAAGCATAAGTAATATATACAATAAAATTATTGCACCTGTTTGCCTGTCCATGTGTGTTTATGACTGCCTCGCTTATTTGTTTACTAATTCCAAGGTTATGAAGACGATGCCTTGACTCCTATGTGTGTAATTTTGCATAGGTGGTATCTATTATTGCTATTTTTGTTTTTTGTCACCCTTGTCGGCCAATTTTTGGCTACGGCTGTATATATTTTTTTAAAAAAACGTTGCCCCACACTAGTATTTTCTCCTGTGTCGTGGGTGCGTTTACAAGTAGTTAGAAAATAGGGCATCCAGATCAGAGATCTGGATACCCTATTTTCCACATTTTAATCTTCTACTAACATATTATTTTAATCTGTTTCTTGATCATAATATTCAGCGGTTAAATTAAATGTTATTGTGAAAACTTCATTTAAACTCAAACAAAAAACCAGACCAGAACTAATATCAACTTGTCTGTGTGGGAATTGAACCCACGACACTTCGTCTTTGTGGTTGAAGAACGTGTTATAATATTGCACTCAGTTGTGACCAGGGTCTTAACCATTAAGCCAAACGTGTCGTCGAATATGTAACAAAATAGCGAACCGCTTCATGCACTTTGTTTACATTAATGAGACGTATATTGTGTGACATCATTCATTCGATGCGCTTCCATATATGCAAGATTTCTCACTAACACAATT